AACACATTCTAAGGATTATTTCTGTATTTGATTTATTAAAATATTCCCATCCAAACCCAAGTAAAGAAGGTGGAGAAATTGCTTTTCATTCAACCCTCTTACATCAGGCAAGGGCAAACTTTAGCCCTCCAGGTGTTTTGGACTTCAACTCTCACAATTCCTATCAGCCTATCCCTAGCATTGAGCCATGGCCATTAAAGTAGTTTCAAACTGCATTAATTCTACAGTGTAGATGCAACTTAGGTGACATGTGCAGGATGAAATTTTAAAGACGAAGACATAGCTGTGAGTTAACAAGACTTGACCAGGACAATTGATGACCGGGGATATTTAAAGGTCTCTTTCACTGGCTCACTATAAGTCAAAGTCAGTTGATGGCAAACAGCATCAGCAAAGCCTGGATGGTTGACTGACCCTTTCGTGCTGAAAGCATCTGTTCCTGATGTTGAGAATGGATCCTTTAACTGTTCCAAGCTATTGTTCAAAATCAGAGCAAAGCAATGTTGTTGTGGTCCAAAAAACCAAAAAAACAAAAATGAGGTATTGTGGGCTGAATTAATAACATCTGAAATCCTTGTTGTATCTTTTGGCTCTTTTTACATGAGAAGAATTTGGTGCACAGGTCAGAAATCTAAGGAACTTGGCAAACTTCATGTAAATCCTAGAAAAAAACTTATATTTTGGGAAAGAATTACATCTTTCTTGCTAGATGGGATTTTCTTACAAGCACAATATTTTGCTTAGTGTCGTCGCTGGGATCAGTGATGCATTTAGGTAATATTAGAATGTGGATGTAATATTTTATCTGCCAGCGTTATTGCAGTTGGTGCACAATTTACTTCTCATAGAATAGGTGTTTACCTGTTGTGTGGCTATTCTATCGCACGCTGGGCCTGTAAATAGTTGTCTTTCAAACAGGACGTGCAACCTTTGCCCAACGGGAAGCCAGGGGGCCTAAAGAGAAGTTCTCAGAGGTTTCCACCACAAACAGTCTTTAGATGGCTTGAGAAATACAACAAAGTCTTTTATTAATGAACAATCAAACAGAAACTTCTCTTGTCTTCAGTAAAATTAAACAAATGATTCCAAGCTTTTAGGTAACTGGTGAATTCCTAATCTTGCTCACGAAGGACAGGCAACTGTCTTCAATAACTTCTTCTTTACTTTAAAGGAAAATCCCCTTTTTAACTTCTCCCAGGTTGACTGTAAACTTAAACCTAACTGATATGGGCACCACTACCGGGTTGAACTGCGTCTCAAAGCACCAAGTGGACCTACCAGCAAGGCCTGTAGTCTCTTCAGCTGGAGTTCTTTGATCTTTAGGGCTGTTCTCCCCCGGAAAGTCTTCAAAGCTTTGGGGATGCTTCCCTGGAAATTCTTTCCCTGGAAATTCTTTCCCTTCTGTTTCTGTTGGAATTTCTGTAATCCTGGAAATTCTTAAAGGTTGAAGCTTTTGTACAGGGGAAGCTTTACACACATCCTATACATAAGCTAACCTTGCTTTCCCAATTGCCCTGAGCAAGGGGCGGGACCAAACTTAATGATGATGGACAGGCGGCTTGCCCTATAACTCCAACCAAAGAAGCCATCTATCTGCAGAGTCCCTGAAACTTAGGACTGCAAACAAACATTCAATGCAAAGCAAACAAAATTGGAGCTCCTGGTACAGCTGTACCAGAACAGTGGCACTTGAATAAGTATTGTAGGATGGTGCTATACATTTTGTAAATAGGATACCTCAATACTCTACATCAGTGTTTCTCAGCCTTCCTAATGCTGTGGCCCCTTAATACAATTCCTCATGCTGTGGTGACCCCCAACCATAAAATTATTTTTGTTGCTACTTCACAAGTGTAATTTTGCTACTGTTATGAATTGTAATATAAATATCTGATAGCAGGATGTATTTTCATTCACTGATTTTGTCATTTGGGAGAGCACTGTTTACGCAAACAATGATGGATCTGGACCAAACTTGGCAGAATACTCAATATGCCCAAAGTGAACACTGGTGGAGTTTGGGAGAAAGATACCTTGACATTTGGGTTGTAGTTGCTGGGATTTATAGTTCACCTACATCAAAGACATTCTGAACTCCACCAAATGGAATTGAACCAAACTTGGCACACAGAACTCCCATGACCAACAGATATACTGGAAGGGTTTGGTGGGCATTGACCTTGATTGGGAGTTGTAGTTCACCTACATCCAGAGAACACTGTGGACTCAAACAATGATGGATCCAGACCAAACTTGGCACAAAGCTCACCTGCATCAGAGAGCAGTGGACTCAAACAATGATGGATCTGGACCAAACTTGGCATGAATACTCAATATGCTGAAATGTGAACACTGGTGGAGTTTGGGGAAAATCAACCTTGACATTTGGGAGCCGTAGTTGCTGGGATTTATAGTTCAACTATAATCATAGAGCATTCTGAACTCCACCAACAATGGAATTGAACCAAACTTGGCACACAGAACTCCCATGACCAACAGAAAATACTGTGTTTTCTGATGATCTTTGGCGACCCCTTTGACCCCTCCCTTTTGACCCCCCTCCCCAGAAGTCCCAACTCTCAGGTTGAGAAACACTGCTGTACATGTTTCTGCTTTATTTATCAAGTGTTTATGTTGCCTAATTAGCAAATACCATTGGTTTATTTTACAAACTTATCCATTAAGACAACTACATTAATAAGAAAGCCAGTTGCAATATTAAAATATTAAGCTATTTAAAACTCAGAAGCAAAACTGTGAATTAAAAATGAGCAAAACTGAGATGAAATGCCTTCTAGGAAAGAGAAGTCTTGGGCTGACATGTAAATACTACAGTAAGAAGGTTAGATAGAGCTCTTGAGGGAGCACATGCCACAGATGGGAGGCCATCATGCTGAAGACTTTTTCCCTGGTAGATCCTCATCTCACCACCTTACGAATGGCATCTACAGGGGATGAACATATGGAGAAAAGCTGATCCTAAGCCACTTAAGGCTTTGAAGCTCTGTAGTTTAGTGGATCATATCCTCATGGGGGTTTCTAGGCATTAGGCATTAGTAGTTCTCAAAGACGATGAGGCTTGTTAAAGTAGAAGCATTAGGAAAAGAAGACCATGCTCCAGGTAGGGTAGCATTTTGCAGCTGGCAGATGGTAATCTTGTCAGCGCTGATTGTGTTTAAGTGCAGGCCAAGGTCTTTAGGCACTGCACCCAGTGTGCCGATCACCACTGGGACCACTTTTACTGGTTTGTGCCAGAGTCCTTGCAGTTTGATTGTGATGATTATGATGATTATGATGATTATTACGAAGCCCATGTAGATATCATCAGTGTTGTCATTTCAAGCTGTTGTGTTATGCCCACATAGTTTTGTCAACACAGACCAATTCTCGTACAGTATTTCTCTCAGTTCTACTTTTAGGCTCGGTCTCTATTTCTGTATTTAGCTTGAGGGAATCTCAGCTTAAGTCCCAGGCACACCACTTGTGGGTTCTTGGTGGAATCAAGACAACCTTGAATTACTGTAATCAGCCGGCAATGCATCGTGTGGGAAGAGTTCTTGAGAATTTGTGTGTGGTTTTCTCCCCCCTTTACAAGCTTCTGTATAGTGGAATGTTCTTCCAGAGGGATGCTTCTTGGACAGCTGCCAGATCCTTAGAAAACTGTGCCTTAAAAACATAGTGACTCATTAAGTGGGAATGCAATAGCTCTCAACCTTTTTGTGGCTTCATCCTTGTCAGAATCGATGAAGATGTTGCTGTTGGGAAGAACCAAGCCGAGGCGTAATGGCTTCAGAAACTCATCTCATAAAACCCAGATGTCTAATGTCCAGTGCAAAGATTTTTTAAAAAGATAAGTGACTGCTGATACATACCCTCCAGTGTTCCTGATTTGACCGGGACAGGCTCTCTGTTATCCCACTTTGTTATCCCAGCTCTGAGGACTACCTGGGAAGGAATCCCACTGGAGCATTGCAACACACCCAAATACCTGGGAGTCACTTTGGACTGTGCTCTGACCTACAAGAAGCACTGCCTGAACATCAAGCAAAAAGTGGGTGCTAGAAACAATATAATACGAAAGCTGACTGGCACAACCTGGGGATCACAACCAGACACAGTGAAGACATGTGCCCTTGCGCTGTGCTACTCTGCTGCTGAGTATGCATGTCCACTAAAACAGTAGATGTGGCTCTTAATGAGACATGCCGCATTATCACAGGGTGTCTGCGCCCCACACCACTGGAGAAATTACACTGCTTAGCCGGTATTGCACCACCTGACATCCGCTGGGAAGTAGCAGCCAATAGTGAAAGGACCAAGGCAGAGACATCTCCAGCTCATCCCCTGTTTGGGTATCAGCCAGCACGTCAACGACTTAAATCTAGACATAGTTTTCTAAGATCTACAGAGACACTCGCTGGAACACCTCAGCAAGCGAGAGTCCAAAAGTGGCAGGCCCAAACCCAGCACCTCAATTCATGGGTGATACCAGATGAGAGACTCCCCCCTGGGCACTCAGAAGACTGGGCAACTTGGAAGGTGCTGAACAGACTGCGCTCTGGCACCACAAGATGCAGAGCCAATCTTAAGAAATGGGGCTACAGGGTGGAATCCTCGGCATGCGAGTGCGGAGAAGAACAAACCACTGACCACCTGCTGCAATGCACCCTGAGCCCTGCCACATGCACATGGAGGACCTTCTTGCGGCAACCCCAGAGGCACTCCAAGTGGCCAGATACTGGTCAAAGGACATTTAACCAAATACCAAATTTGCAAAATCTGTGTTTTTTTCCTTTTTCTTTTTAATCTGTGTGTTTGTTTTGCTCTGTTAGAATTGTAATACAATGGTTGCTGATGACACGATAAATAAATAAATCCCACTTTTTCAGCTGCATTTAAAATCCCCCAGTTCCTCATTGCTCTCCCAATTTTTCTTCGTTGACCTCAGCTTACTCCCATTTTATTTCCATTTCACACCCCTTTTTTTCTTCTTCTTGAAGGGAAAGTGTTTGTCCCTAAAGACAGACCCATAGAAACGCATACGGAAGAGAAGGTGACATTGGATCCAGAATTAGAAGAAGCCCTGGCCAGTGCTTCAGATACAGAGCTGTATGACCTAGCAGGTTTGTTGTTTCTTTTGTATTTCTTTTTAGCAGAACTTTCTGGTGTTTCAATCATGATGTATAGAGGAATTGAGTGTCGCAACTCAGGGTAGTTTTCACCTTGCTCAAGACACCAGCACACACCAAGGCTGTAGTTTTGTAGTTTATTGAGAAAAAGCAAAATCAAAACAGAGAAATAAAGATGCAAAAGTTTAGTAGGCACAACAGAGTCTTAAATGCAAATGCAAGGTTCCCATATCCACAGGCAAATAACATGAAGCATAATCCCTTAGCAATGGTCAAACAAGAGTCCATGGCAAACAGGTAAGATCAGGATCAGAATCCCAGTCCCAAGAAGCCAGAAGCATTCCGCAAAAGCCAAGGCAATTCCACAGAAGTTAACAGGTAAGAAGCTACATTGGACTGACAAGAAATGCCTGTCAGCTACATCATTAAATAAGCTTCCCAAACATGAAAGCATTGCATTGACCTTTGGCTTCCCTCTTGCTAGCTTCTGCGAACCCTTAATTGCAAATGGTCCTGTCTGCTCATTAATTCACCATTATCTTCAAGGCTATACAACTCCTTATCTCTGCCCAGCTGGGCCGGATCACTCTGGGAACCGAAAGGAGTCTCCACCTGCCCTTGTGGGATTTCACTGTCTCTATCTAAAGGCACATTCCTTTCCCCGGGGAACAGGCTTACTGTTTCTTCTTCAGAAGGCACACTATCAGCCCCGTCTGGAGCATGTACAAGAATCTGCAACCCATCAGCCTCCTCATCATCCTGCAGAAAGTCAGGCTCAGAAGGCCCAAACAGTTCAGTTTCAGACTCAGAATCAGACTGAGCCACAACATTGACCCCCCTCTTCAAATAGTAATAACTATAAATGCATAACATATTCTTAGAACTTGGATGAGTTTCAGCCAAACTCAGCTCCAGCCCAACCCCAAACATTCCTGGTAGGATTAATCTAATCATTTAAACTGATTTGCCAGGATGCCCCTCGGGACATAGACAACGACTCCACCTACCTATATTGAGGTTCACATCGACAAAATATTGTAGAGCCTCTCCTATGTGTTGATTGAGGTTTATGTTTTATTAATAAAGAGAGGGGAGACGACTCACATATATACACAAAAATTGTGGTATGACTATAGACATATTCCCTGGCACCCAAAGAAATGTGATACAACATGTGATTGGGAAATTGTTGGGAAACTGAACATCTAGGAAGCCCTAACACTTTAATCTGATCAACTCTCCTTTTGTGATTCTGAGGAAATCACTCAGGCCAGCCCATTATCTGCTTCCTCTCCCTCTTTCCCCCTCTTCTTTGTTAAGACTCCAACACCTCAAGATTGACCTTTCCCTCACCTCCTGAGCCCCACTCTCTCAACCTTGTTGCCCAAGAAACACCTACACAAATACATTGTTAGTTAACAAAATAGACCTGGCTCTTTCTCTCTGTCTACTGGGTGTCTCTTTTCTTTTTTCTGAACTTCTTCACTATTGGGCCAGAGGTTTAGCACAGCTGGTAAATCTTCAGCAATTATAAGATCTATCAAACAAAAGGTTGCAAGTTCGAAGCCCCAGCTCTGCCAGCTCCAATATGTTACCATTCTGTTTCTGTAGCTGAGCTCCTGCTGTACAGTGGACCACAAACCATGGTTGTCAGATATCATAACTCATCTTACATAGTGCTTATGGGACTGAACTATGTGGCTGTCTTGAGAAACAACACATATTTTTCCAGTGGACTCCCTGCTGAGAGACCACTCCTAGAACCCAGAACTCATCAAGGACTTTGTTTACTCACTTGATTGACTTTCAGATTTCCCAAGATTCACCCTTTGTTTAGAGATTATTCCAAGTTTCTGAAGTCCATTAGTGCTAAATACCCATTGTGCTGTCACACCCAGACGTTATAAAAATAAACTAAGATGTGCTGCTCTCTTTGTCTGGGTGGACCATAGGGGCCTTTCTTTAGAAACTTGAGGTTCCCAGCAACTGAGGCTACTACAGGCTTTGAACTTCAAAACAGAATATTTATTTCTCAAAGTCCTTGCAGACTTGGCACAGCTTGTCAAAGTTACAAACAAAACAGTCAATTGATGAAACCATAGAGATGATCTTTCTTTCTTTTTCCTTCAGTTACTGAGGTAACTCTTCCCCAAAAGGCAAAAATCCTGGGATCTTTTCACCTTAACCCTGAACTGGTATGGTTAGAAAAAAGCAGGTTTTTCCCCTATCTATAGCTCAAGGTTAGCTTTGGAGATGAAGTAATGCTCAATATCTATCTTTCTGCCTATTCCTCAATCACTCAATCTATACTCAATCTATCTATCTCAATTAGCTATAACTCAATCTCAATCTATAGTATCTCAATCAGCTTCTTTATATCTTAATCACTATTCTATCTCAATCACTCAATCAGCTATAACTTAATCGTTCTTATAATGGTTTTATCAGAGCTACCTACCTAACCAGCAGCACATCTGAAGTTTTCTTTCTCTACTGAAGGAGGCAGGGGAGATTCCAAAATGGAGATCTCAATCCCTAGAAAAAGGGCGGTCTCTAAACCCAAAGAGATACTTTCTAAGCCAATAGCTGCAAAAAGGGGCCTGCAGGCTGGCTTTCTAGCCTCTAATGCTGTTAACTTTCAGAGGGCAGCTAAAATTGTAGCAACCCTGGGGAATGCAAAAGAATGCTATCCCATACAATTAAAAGGCAAATGCAAACCATGCTCCTGGAAGATGGAACACCCATTCTTTCCAGTCTGGACAATGAGGCCCATCTCCTCAGAAGCAGGCACAACAACAAACTTCTAATTTTGAACCCCACCAATCCCAACTGTTCTTTCTTTCTCTTTGCCCTGGTCTTTAATGTAAGAAGTCTTAGCCAAAGAGAAGGTGGGTCCTAGGAAGTACATCTCCTGACCAACCAGGGAGGGAGCTGTAGGTTTGAATAGCTGCCAAACTTTATACAATGTGCTGCACTTTTGGGTATGAGTTATGTCAGTTCTTTTGGAAGTTACGCTGTTCTGACATCCATCTGGCCAGGTGAATAAACCTCTGATATTGCCTTCAAACCCTGTCATATTTTTCCTGGCATTCAAAGTAGCTGGGCAATTGACCTACACTCCCTCCTGGTGGTAGATAGCTGATTTCAGTAACAATACTGAGTTGGACAGGTCTACCTCTGCTTTTTTTTGAAGTGACGAACTGTATTGTTACTATTTCCACTCTACATTACAACTCCTTGCATTATCTTTATAACCCTTCAGGTTTGTGATATGAGCAAAGGATGGCAAATTCTACCAAGGGCTTTGGTATCTTTCCAATATTTCATTGTATCCCATTCTGTTTTTGGTGCTTCTAGCTGTTCTTGGAGTACACAACTTGGTCAACAACCCCAAGTTTGATGAAGGAGCCACCAGTAAAGATGGCAAAGGGATCGTGAAAAGTAAGTAGAAGCAAAAGTAGATTTGCAAACACGCTAACTGCATAGCACTGTAACTGGATAGCACTGTCAATACTGTAACTGGATAGCAATCCTAAAGTGTGATAGAGGCTTAAATATTTCAGTTCTGGATACAATGAAGACCTCTATGGAGGTCCCAAGATCATGGGGTGTTATCATGGGAGTTAAAGTGGAATCCTACAACTCGTAACTGTGTAGGTAAAGGTAAAAGTTTTCCCCTGACATTAAGTCAAGTCATGTCCAACTCTGGGGATTGGTGCTCATCTCCATTTCGAAGCGTTGTTCGTAGACACCTCCAAGGTAATGTGGCCAGCATGACATGCCGTTATTTTCCTGCCAGAGTGGTACCTATTAATCTACTCACATTTGCATATTTTTGAACCACTTCTGCTAACCAAGCAGTTCAAAAACTTGCCAGCTGTGCTAAACCCCAGCTGTTCTGTCGCCGCTGGGCCTATAGTTAGTTGACTTTAGATATAGGATGTGTAACCTTTACCCAGCGGGAAGCCAGGGGCCCTAGGAAAAGTTCTCAGAGGCTTCCTTTACAAAAGGAATCTTCAAATGGCTTAAAAGGTACAACAAAGTCTTTTATTAATGCATCAAACAGGAATTGTAAAGCTTTAAAGTATCAGTTCTCCCAAACTTGTCTGCAGGGAACAGGCACTATCTTCAATAACTTTCTTCAAAGGAAAATTCCCCCTTTTAACTTCTCCCAAGGCTAACAAAAATCCAACCCTCACTGGTGTGGACTCCTCTGCCAGGCCGAACTGCTTCTCGAAACACTGAGAGGACCTACCAGACAGGCAATGGATGTTCTTTAGAGTTGGCTGTCTTCCTGGAAACTCCCAAGGCTGTAGGAAGGAATCCCTGGAGTTCTTAGGAGACCCTTAAAGCTGTGGGAATGCTTCCCTGGCGTTCTTTCCCTGGAGCTCTTAAAGGTTGAAGCCTTTGTACAGGGGAAGTAAACACATCCTATACATTGGCTAACCTTGCTGTGACTGACTGGAAAAGGCTCCCTTCCCTCCAAAAAGCAAAAAAGGGGCGGGACCAGGAATCCTAACTATAATTGGCAGGTGGCTTACCCTATAAATGCAAATTATAACAGTAAACCCCCTGCTGCAAAATCCCAAGCATGAGATTGCACACAAACATTTAAACACAGCAAATAAATCTGGAGCTCCTGGAACAGCTGTTCCAGAACAGTACCGCTTCGGCGGGAAGGTAACGGCACTCCATACCAGCCACATGACCTTGAAGATGTCTATGGACAACGCTGGCTCTTCGGCTTAGCAATGGAGATGAGCACCAACCCCCAGAGTCGGACACAACTGGACTTAATGTCAGCGGAAAACCTTTACCTTTACCTAAGTGGGGAAGTATTTTATGGCCCCATAAAAAGGAAATACCAGAAAGAAGGAAGTCTTTGATCAAGTGCTCTTCATCACAGAGGATGGAGCTACAGCACCTCCCTGTGGCCAGAATGGAGCACAACCTCCAAGACGCTGAAATTGGGGAAAATGCCGGCATGTGCCTCTATCTGTCATCTGTGCTGTCTGTTTAACAGCATAGACAAAACATTGTAGAGATGTCATGATTGAGGTTTATGTTTTATTAATCAATTTTATTTTATTAGTTTTATTAATATTTGCTGGGTATGTGTTCCGTGATCCGCCCTGAGTCCACTTAGGTTATATATCTATATAAATAAAAATGTGGTGTTCATTTGTGGGATTAACATAACTCAAAAACCACTGGGCGAGTTGACACCAAATTTGGACACAATACACCTAGTAGGCCAATGAGTGATCATCACTCATAAAAACACTGAAAAACACAGTGGAAGAGACTTAAAAAGCCAAAAAAATAAAAAAATGCGTAGAGCCACATATAAACACATATTTACACATACACAACACATATACACAGACTGGGCCACAGCAACGTGTGGCAGGAGACGGCTAGTAAATAAATATGAAAGAGAGGGAAACTGTGGGAGAAAATCTGTAGTTTTCCTTCTACCTGTACTGAGAGACAAGAAAGTTACCACTCTCAATCTTCTTATGTTGCTAATTCAAGTCCCTCTACGATTATTATTGTTAAGTTCGCAAAAGTCCACCATTTCAGCTTGGTGAGCCTGCTAAGCTCTCCTACTTTAGGGAGTAGGAATTTGCACTGTCAGCCAACTTAGTTCCAAAAACAACACTTTCCCTTCCCAAGGCAGCCATGTGTTGTTTTGTTTAATTAGAAGGGCTTGGGATGGGAATGTCTCTCAGAAGCTCCAGTAACTTTAGAAATACGATTTAAGATGTAGGAGGTCACAAGAGGATACACAAGGGGAAGAGTCGGTGTGCTGCCCTGTTTGGTCTGAAGAAGACCTGCGATCAGATACGAATAAAGCTGTGTTGTAGCACACTGGGTAATTTCTCCCTTATCAACCTACTACAAGGCTGGAAACATAAGATCAGTAGGAGAGAAGCTGAACCATTCACATCTCCCAAAGAACCTTTAAAAAGTCAGATTTTTTAAAAAGAGAGGAAATTAGAAGTACTAATTGCTTATGGGAAATGACATATTTACTTACTTACGGCATTTATATGCCACCCTTCTCATCTCGAAGAGGACTCAGAGCAGCTTACGAGCAGGGCCGGTTCTTCCATTACGCTAAGTAAGCGGTTGCGGAATAGTTTGTTTTTCCAGGGGCGCCTCGGCGCCTCCGTAAATGCCCCTCCACAGTTGCGAGTCGCAATCTTTCTCTGCCTCCAGAGGCGGCTCAAGGCAAATTACACTTTTGCTTAGACCGCGCGTCTTGGGGGGGGGCGCTCTTGAGCTCCCACTCATGGCCTTCGGGGGAAACGAGAACTGATGGGGGACTCAGTGGAGAGCATGAGGAAGATCAATATGGCGCTTCCTGACCTGGGGAGGGCTGGCGAAAGAAGAGGGGGCAAAGTGTGCAAAAGGAGAGCCGTGGGAGGGGCAAAGGGACAGACCCCTCTTCTGCCTGTCTTTCCCCTTCATTGGGTTCGGGAGTTGGAGTCTCAGTTTGGCCACAATCCGTGACTTGGTGTGGGAAACTCATTCCCATTTGGTTACTTTTCTGCAATGTTTTGGGGAGGAAAGGCTTGGAATATGGCTTCTCCTCTTCGTTCTCTTCCTCCTCCCACTACTTTGGGACGAGCAGAGATTTCTCCCTGGTGTCGCGAGGAGTCCTGAGGTGTTGGTGTGTTGCCTTCAGGGGCTGAACTCTTTGTTGTTGCTCCCTCCTGCTTCTCTTTGGCTTGCAGCAAATGGTTTGCCCGAAGAGCAGGCTTCCCTTCTCTTCTCTTCCTTTCCCTTCTCCCTCCCCCCTCTCTCTCTCTCTCCCGTCCCCTCGGCCTTTCCAAGAGCAAGATTCCTTTCCTTTCCTTTCCCCTTCCTTCTCTCTCTCTCTCTCTCTCCCCCCCCCCCCCAATCCTTTTCAAGAGCAGGCTTCACTTCTTCTCTTTTCCTTTCCCTTCTCCCTCCCGCGTCCTTTTCTTCCGTGGAAGGAGAGACTTTCCGTCGAGATCTTCCCGAAGCTCTCGAGGTTTGTAAAGCGTCAGATCTGGATAATATGGAGCGTTTCCTAGTTTCCCAAGTGTCTCCTCCTCTCCCTTTCCCTCTCCACGAGCTGTGGTTTCTGCAAAAGGCTTGAAATCCAGCCCCAGGCTTTCCAGCCAGTCCAGGATATTTAATATTGTGTGTTCATATAATATTTATAATATTATAATGTAATATAATACTACTACTAATAATACAAAATAATAATTATATATTTTATAGTAAAGGTTTTCCCTGACATTAAGTCCAGTCGTGTCCGACTCTGGGGTTGATGCTCATCTCCATTTCTAAGCCAAAGAGCTGGCATTGTCCGTAGACACCTCCAAGGTCATGTGGGCAGCATGACTGCATGGAGCACCATTACCTTCCCACCGGAGCGGTACTATTGATCTACTCACATTTGCATGTTTTCAAACTGCTAGGTTGGCAGAAGCTGGGGCTAACAGCAGAAGCTCATGCCACTCTCTGGATTCGAACCTGCGACCTTTTGGTCAACAAGCTTAGCAGCTTCGTGCTTTAACCCTCTGCACCACTGGGGGCTCCCAGTAATATAAAATATAATATATTTTATATTACATTTAATATTACTAATAATATTATAATATATTGTATGCATATATATCTTGTAAGCCGCTCTGAGTCCCCTTCAGGGTGAGAAGGGCAGCATATAAATGCCGTAAATAAATAAATTATATAATATAATGCCAAGTTTTCAAACTTTGATTGTGTGCATGTTTTCTTTTAAATCCAGTACAAAGGTACCCTTGGTTTGGTCTGATACCATAAATAAATAAATACTAGGGAATCCTGGAGGCACCAGGACGCTTTGGTAAAGAAGGCTAAAGATCTTAGGTGCATCAACAGTTTAGAATTAATGAAGTTAGCCCTGACATTGGCAAACTTTGGCCCTCTAGGCATTTTGGACTTCAACTCCCATCATTCCTAACAGCCTCAGGCCCCTTCCTTTCCTCCCTTTTCCTGCTTAAGCAGCTGAAGGGGAAAAGGCTGTTCAAGGACCTGAGGCTGTTAGGAATGGTGGGAGTTGAAGTCCAAAACACCCAGAGGGCCAAAACTTGTCCATGTCTGAGTTGGCGCCACTTTTAAGTGCCATGGCTCAATGCTAGGGAATTCTGGGAGGTGTTGGGTGCTTCCACACTGTAGAATTAATGCAGTTGAGTCTCACTTTTAATTGCCATGGCTCAATGCTAGGACTTGTGTTTTGGTGAGGCACCAGCACTCTGTTACAAGTATTGCAATCGTTATGGCCATCCAAATGAGGTCCTAAGGAAGAGTCTTACCCTCTCTGTATAGGTAAGACTGTATTTTCATTGCAATTCAGAGTGCATCTCCACTGTCAATGAATGTAGTCTGGCTGACTTTTAACAGCCATGGCTCAATACCAGGAA